CCCTTGCCATGTAGACAGACCAAGGCACAGGCACTTCTAGGACATACAGAGCCACAGGTATACATGCTAAGACATACATGGATATACACACTCCTATAATATATGGATACTCACTACTCCAGAGATGCATAGATGTGGATTTACATATAGAGAGCTAAAGGCAGGAGGACATGAGCATGTATACATGGATGCAGACACATGTAGGCATACCTGTAGACATGCAGCAGCTCACTGGGATGGGCATAGGCCTTGCACCAAAACACAGGCATAGATCCAGTTATAATCATCTAAAATCTGTAGAGACAGTGCCTTAAAGCCAGACACTGATGACTGTTTGGGATTATATGAGTCTTTTGTCCACAGGGAGAACCTGGAGACCCTGGAGAAGATGGAAGAAAGGTAAAGCCACTCACTTGGGAGTATGCTTTGGCCTTAGATTGGATCGTGTCTAAAAAGCCCTTGTCTTCCTTAGGGGGAAAAGGGAGATTCAGGCGCTCCTGGGAGAGAAGTGAGTGCTTGTGTTTTCTGTATTGTGATCCCTAATCCAGACCCTGTGAGATATGGCTCCATTCTTTCCTGGGGCCTCAGGGTCCTGATGCTGGCTACATCCTCCACAGGGTCCTGATGGCCCCAAGGGCGAACGTGGAGCTCCTGGTAACCCTGGACTCCAGGGCCCTCCAGGTCTGCCAGGGCAGGTTGGCCCTACTGGCCAGGTGAGCATCTACTGTAGTTCTGGGGCTTGGGAACAACAGAAGCCATTATGTTTCCTGGGCTGCCCTCCTTGATCCTGTGTGACTCTTCTGTGTTCCATCATATTTCAGGGGTTTCCTGGTGTCCCAGGAAGTGTGGGCCCCAAGGTGAGTAGTGTGTGTGTCTGTGTTGGGCAAAGGGTATGATGAGGGGCTGAGCAGGATTGGGGGACACGTTTCTCCCTTGATCATTCTTTGTTCCAGGGTGACCGTGGGGAAACTGGAGCCAAAGGCGAACAGGTGAGGCCGCTACTCTATTCACCTGCCCAGGTAGCCACAGTTCTGTAGAATGTATGCAGATCTCACAGGCTGGGTCCTATAGCTTGTCTCTTCTCTCTAGGGCCTCCCAGGAGAACGTGGCTTACGAGGAGAACCTGGGAGCTTGCCGGTGAGCCAGCCTCAGGACCTGTCCCTTGACCCTTGTTTGCATGCTCCTGGATGCCACCTCTCCATTTCCTTTCCTTTGCCATGAACTTCTACAGGTTCTGTCCTCTGTGCTCAGTTCCCTGCTCCATTGGTGTTCCTGTAGCTCACATTCAAGGAAACAGATAGTGGGAAAATGCCAGGGAGAGGCTTCCAGTGGCCTCAACAGAAGGCTAAATAGTATACTGGGAAAAAGAGTATGGAAACTCTCTGGGGACAGTACGGGGCAGGAGACAGGGGCTTCTTTCTCTTTCATGAGCAGCTCTTCACCATCTTTGTGTCCCCAGAATGCAGAACGGTTGTTGGAAACTGCTGGCATCAAGGTTCGTTGTTTAGGGTCTGAGGTGGGGACAAGTGGGGTCCCTATAGGGCAATCAGTGGTCACAGGACCCAGTGGGTGAGTTGTGGCAGTTATAGGTCTTGCTCTTCTGTCTCCTTACTGTTCTTCAGGTGTCTGCCCTGCGGGAGATTGTGGAGACCTGGGATGAGAGCTCTGGCAGTTTCCTGCCTGTGCCTGAGCGGCGTCGTGGTCCCAAGGGGGACCCGGGTGAGAGGGGCCCCCCAGGCAAGGAGGTGAGTGAGTGGGGGCTGATCAGTGAGTGTGCCTCACGGAGGGCATAGTCATACAGCCACAAACATTCACCCTTCTGCTCCCTCAGGGCTCCATTGGCCTTCCTGGAGAACGTGGACTGAAGGGAGATCGTGGAGACGCTGGTCCTCAGGGGCCTCCTGGTCTGGCTCTTGGGGAGAGGGGCCTACCTGGACCACCTGGACTTGCTGGGGAACCTGGAAAGCCTGGCATTCCTGGGCTCCCGGGCCGGGCTGGGGGCTCAGGGGAGGCAGGGAGGCCAGGAGAAAGGGTGAGTCTAGAGCTGGCCAGGGGAAGTGGTTGAGAGAGTCTGACTTCCTCATCAATGTTGGCCTCACCCTGCTATTTGCATTCCAGGGTGAACGGGGAGAGAAAGGAGAGCGTGGCGAACAGGTGTGTATTGGGGAGAGGTGCTCTGTGAAGTGGAGCTTCTTGGAGGCTATATTGGCACAACTTCCTAATTTCTTTTTTCTGCAGGGCAAAGATGGCCTTCCTGGACTCCCTGGACCACCTGGCCCTCCTGGTCCCAAGGTGATCTCCTCAGCCTCATGACTGGTTAAAGGATGCTACCCTTACCTTGTGCCCCCAAAACTCTGTATGGTATCTTCAACCCCATAACCTTCTGTGATCCTTGACCTGTATTGAGCCTTTCATGACTCTGTGACAGACTCATCTCTCCCCCATGACCCTGTGCTTATAGGTGGCCATAGATGAACCGGGTCCTGGACTATCTAGAGAACAAGGACCCCCTGGACTCAAGGGTGCTAAGGTCAGTGCAGGGTCAGCCTGTGACCTGTGCTCTACCACAACACCATGGCCTGACCTGACATCTTATTCCCACAGGGGGAGCCAGGCAGTGATGGTGACCGTGGACCCAAAGGAGACAGGGTAAGGTCTCTTATTCCACCATGTTGCCCCCTTTTATATGGGGCATACCATACACTATGGGGTAGTGTGCATATGTATGTGGAAATATGGTAGAGACTGGAGGCTCAGGGCATGACACACTATTTTCAGGGTGTACCAGGCATCAAGGGAGACGCAGGAGAACCTGGACAGAGGGGTTATGATGGCAGCCCGGTAAGTCCTTGCCCTATGGATCATATGTGTGCAAGAATATGTATTGTCCTGTGTGCAAGTAGGAGCTGGCATTACTTAGGACCATCTAGGTCCTGTCCTTGGATGTCAGGGGCATGGTGAGTAGGGAAGAAACTGGGGCTGGGCAGAAGGCCAAGGTAGCCTTAGACCTATTTTTTTGCAGGGTCTACCAGGAGAACGTGGTGTGGCTGGGCCTGAAGGGAAGCCGGTGAGTGGCACCAGGAACAGCCTGCCAAAGATCTAAGACCCTATGCTGTGTGTTTATTACTTGGGGGCAAGAGACAGTGCCTTTGTGTAAGCTGTGAACCTATAGGTGTATTATGGTGTCTGTGACAGGCTTACTGTGTATGTATGTCTGTGTGTCTATGTGTGCTATCTGGGAGGGGCAGTTCATGGGTACATAGTGGTCTGCGCCTGACAAGGTGGGAATGTGGAAGTGGATCCCCCAGGCAAAGGCGAGACCCACTTAGAAGGCAGGAACAGGCCCAAATGAAGCCTGGATCAATGTTCATCAACCCTTTCTCTTCACAGGGTCTTCAGGGTCCAAGGGGGACCCCTGGCCCAGAGGTGAGTACTCAAGAACCCTTATTTCTGCCCCCATCCTGTGCCAAACCCAATGAAAAATGTTGTCTAGTTTTCCTGTTGGGGTGGGCCTGGCTCCCTTCATCAGACTGTCCCCAACAGGGTGGCCATGGAGAACCTGGACCACCTGGTACACCGGTGAGTGATGGACAAACACTGCCTAGAAGGGGTCAGGGAGATAGGGGACAGGCATCTGTCACTGTTAATACGTCAGGCTTTGTTCATGTAATATCCCGGGGCCCAGGAATGTTGACCTCTGTCTTCTGCCTTGACACTTTTCTCTAGGGTCTTGCTGGCCCTGCAGGACCTCAGGGACCCTCTGGCCTAAAGGTGAGTACAGGCATTGAAGGGAGTTAGCAAATATGTGGATGGAGGAAGAGGCTCCTTCCAGCCTTATCCATACCCTGGGATGTCAGTTCCCATGATGGGGCTGAGAACCCTTCCCCATGGGATATGATCACATGGTTTCTACCTATTCAGGGAGAACCTGGAGAGACTGGACCCCCAGGACGGGTAAGTGCTTCAGCTCTATGACGGGTAGGGTCATAAGGAGACTTATATGGTTGGCACTGTTCTGAACTTTTTCTTCCTCCAGGGTCTGCCTGGACCTACTGGAGCTGTGGGACTTCCTGGTCCCCCTGGTCCTTCAGGCCTTGTGGTGAGTGAATTAGTATACCATGCATACCATGTTCCCGCTCCGCAGTTTCCACATTCTTCCATGTCCTCCTTGATCCCTTGCCCTGTATGACCATGATATCTCTTCCCTCTTAGGGTCCACAGGGGTCACCAGGTTTGCCTGGACAAGTGGTAAGTCTTAGAGGACTTGGACTGGGCTCCAGTGGTCAAGGGTCAGTGTGCAGATCCCTGACTGTGCCTCCTCTCAGGGGGAAACAGGGAAACCAGGAACCCCAGGTCGTGATGGTGCCAGTGGAAAGGATGGAGACAGGGGAGGCCCTGGTGTGCCAGTATGTATTCTAGGGGAGCTTGCGGTAGGCCTGTTGTGGATCCCTGTGCCCAGCTGCTGAGTAGAAGGCTGGGGAGACAAAGACAGGGTGATGGGGAGACTCAATTCCTCACACTACTCTGTCACAGGGGTTACCAGGTTTGCCTGGCCCTGTTGGACCTAAAGGAGAACCTGGACCTATGGGGAGCCCTGGACAGGTAAGTTTTGACTCTGATCTCCATCCTGTGCACCAACTCTGCCCTGTTTCCTTATCCCCAAGCCACAGTTTCTACATAGCCTCTGGGATGGCAGGGTGGGGTTGGGGAGGAATGGTGGCTAGGTCATTCACTAGGCTTTCCCCACAGGCAATGGTTGGGCCCCCTGGAACAAAAGGAGAGAAGGTGAGTAGGCAGGAGTCCTGGGAGGAGGGGTCAAGGGATAGGAGCAAAAGAATCCCACTGACCGCCTTCTCATCAGGGAGCCCCAGGAGGCTTTGCTGGAGACCTGCTGGGTGAGCCGGTGAGTGTAACACCTCTGACAATAGGGGTCGTTGGCTCATGGTTTACCCATCCTCATGACCCTCAGCTTCCATAATATGCCCCACATTTGCCCCTGATCTCAGGCTTACCTCCTTGAGATTCATCTTTCTGTGATTGACACTTGTGTTGCCTTCTGACACTTGTGCCTATAGGGAGCCAAAGGTGACCGAGGACTGCCAGGGCCACGGGGTGAGAAGGTGAGTGGATCTGGGCCCCCAGCATAAGTGTTGAGCATGGTGGGGTAAGTCTGGGAGGCCAGAGAGCCTTACCACCCCTTCTGTACAGGGTGAAGCTGGCCGTGCAGGAGAGCCTGGAGACCCTGGGGAAGATGTAAGTCTGGGGTCTGGACAGGCCCAAGTTTGACTTAAAGTATGTGATCATGAATATAGGGGACCATTCTTGGGCTTGTTCACATGTCTGAACCCCCATGTCACATGTTCTTAAGGAGGCTTCCACTTAGAGCACACTGGGCCACATGCTCTTGGCTTCTGGGTGCCCATCCTTAACCTGCACAACTGAGCCCATGCATGTCTGCTCCTGTCTGATCTTCCAGGCCCTGGGACACAGTTGAGTTCCTGCAGGCCTCCTTGGTCATGTGTTTATAATCTTGTCTCCCACCCCTGTCTGTCTGAATACACGTCTGTGGTCAGATTTAAGCTCTCTGGGAGCAGACAGGATGGAGTTCCCATCTGAGCTCCATATCTGTGGTCTCTCATGTTTGCATGCTCATGTGTGAGCTCCACGTACCTGTGGTCACGCCTAAACTTCCACGTATCTGTAGTCACATGTGATTTCACAAGCCCATGGTCATGGCTAAGCTCCCTTGAGCCAATCCTTTGTCACATGTCTGAGTTCCCACGGGCTCATAATCACATCTGAGCTACTCAAGAATATTTTGGGGGGCTGGAGAGATGGCTCAGTGGTTAAGAGCACTGACTGCTCTTGCAAAGGACCCAGGTTCAATTCCCAGCACCCATATGGCGGCTACAAACTGTCCTTAACTCCAGTTCCAGGGGAATCCTAAGCCCTCTTCTGACCTCCACGGCATTGCATGACACAGGTGCACTCACATACATGCAGGCAATACACTCATACACATAAAATAATAAGGAGAATATTTAAAAAATATTTTAAAAAAGAATATTTTTGATCCATATATAAGCTTGATGTTCATTTTTTTTAAGGGTCAAAAAGGAGCTCCAGGACTCAAAGGTTTCAAGGTACATTTACCCATTTTCAAGGTCTTTTCTTGAGGTTATGATCCTATGACTCTTTAAGTCTGACAAGACCCCTCTTTTCCTCAAAGGGTGAGCCAGGAATTGGGGCTCAGGGCCCCCCTGGGCCAATCGGTACTCCAGGTATGAAGGTAAGTCAGTATCCCATCACCAACAGGCAGGGTGGCCCCTGGAGGTGGGAGGGAGTTCTGAGGCTAGCCTTGGAAGGTGTCCTGCTATAACCACTTCCCCTTTTTATCTACTTCAGGGAGACTTGGGCCCCCCTGGTGCTCCTGGTGCTCCTGGTGTTGTTGGGTTCCCTGGCCAGACAGGACCTCGAGGAGAGATTGGCCAGCCAGGCCCTGTTGGAGAGCGGGTGAGGGGGCTGAGAACAGCATGTGGGGATTTGGTGACTTCAAGTCCTCTGAATCTGGTGGTGGGTGAGGAGGAGGAAACCTAGGCCTATCTTGGTGGTACTCAGCCTTTAGTGGAAGAGAAGGAGACACTCTGTCTGCCTTGCTTCATTTTCCTATAGGGTCTGGCAGGCCCTCCAGGAAGAGAAGGTGCCCCAGGTCCCCTGGGGCCACCTGGACCACCAGGGTCAATGGTGAGTAGAAATGCCCCAGTACCCTGAGTCTGTCCATGTGAGAGATTTGATGGGGCCTAAGCTACACTATGAGGCTGGATGTATGGGAACTTCAAGGCCACGGGTTCCTTACCTCATTCTGACCCGTAGGGAGCACCTGGGACCTCTGGACTCAAAGGAGACAAGGTAGATGGAATGCTGCTGGCCCTTTCCTGTGCCTCCAATTTTCACTGACCTCCCATAACTCTCCCACTGAGCCCCTCTACTTATCCCTGGTATCCTTTTGATCTCCAGGGAGATCCCGGAGCAGGGCTACCTGGGCCCCGAGGAGAGCGTGGGGAACCAGGTGTCCGGGTATGTATGTGCTCCATCACTGCCCCCTTCATCACAGTTCTTGCCTCAGATTTCTAGCCTCTGAGTCTGTGAACCTAATGTCACCTTTCAGGGTGAAGATGGCCACCCCGGCCAGGAGGGACCTCGAGGACTCATGGTGAGTCCTGTTTGAGAAAACACCAGGGGTATGACTTCAGTTCTCTGCCTGACCCCTCCGTGCCCTTGGGACACTGCTGTCTGCCCAGACCTCTGGTTCTCCTTGTTTCCCTCTAGCACTGTCTTCCTCTGCCTCTTGAGCTGCCTCCTCACTAGTCCCCCCAAATTCCTATAGCTCACAGTCATTTTTTTCTCACAGGGCCCCCCTGGTAGCCGGGGAGACAGAGGAGAGAAGGTAAGAATATGGGAGAAAAGTCCCTGGGGTGAGTGGGAGTGAGGATGAATGTTGTAACTAAGGTCCGGGCCTCCCCAGTTTGGGTGAGACTCATACTCTTCTACCTAATAGGGTGACGCTGGAACTGCGGGGCTAAAGGGAGACAAGGTAAGTGTGGGCATGTGGGAGGACAGGGGCAGGAGACTAGGGTGCTCCGGACTCTTCTGACCCCTCCTCTGATGCCCCTCAGGGTGACTCAGCTGTGATTGAGGGGCCTCCAGGACTACGAGGTGCCAAAGGGGACATGGTGAGTAGGTTTGGTTCATGTGTAAACTCTTGTGGTATAGAAAGGGGTTCTGTGGGACTGGCTCAGAAGACCTGGTAGTGCAGCTTCCCAGAAGGTGAGAGGCCTCCTGCTCCTAACCCTGACTTCTGACCTCTGACTTAGGGTGAACGAGGGCCTCGGGGCATAGATGGTGAAAAAGGACCTCGGGGAGACAGTGGCAACCCTGGTGACAAGGTACAGGGAAGAGGGGGGAGTTCTCCCTAGGGGTCCTTCTGGCTGTGGAGGATCCACAGAGAGTTGGAGAGGGTAGGAGGAAGCTTTCAGGGGTGAGAGGGAAGAGCTTCTGTGGGCTGTAGTGACTCTAAGGGGTGGCAGAGAGGATGGGGATGTAGTGAGGTCTCCACACCTCAAGGTCAGAGCAGGAAGGGAGCTTTGGACTGTGGCTCTGTGAGAGGCCTATGGAGACAGGAAGGGGGCTCTTGTGGATGTTAGGGGTGCTCTGGGTGGGGTTAGAGATCCAACTTAAGAAAAAGGGGCACGAATCTGGGAGTCTTAGGGTGAGAAATAACCTATTCCTGGACCTCAACAGCAACTCCACTGTGTGTGGCATGAACAGCAATAATGGGGCGCCTAGGGACACTTGGTAAAAAGAACACTGAGGAGCTTGTCTCAGCTGGCTGGTTCCTAGCATACTCCCAGCCTCTAGCCAGGTATGGTCCTGACTCTGTCCCTTCTCCTGGTAACTCCTACAGGGCTCCAAAGGAGAACCTGGTGACAAAGGCTCTGCTGGATCAATTGGAGTTCGAGGGCTCACAGGACCCAAGGCAAGCCCCAAACCAGGCTCAGTCATGCATCACACACACCTGTCCTGGGGTATTTCTCAAATGTTAGAGGGTTCCTGGCTTCCTTACTGTTGGTCACACGTGTGGTCACAGAGGATTTTATGTAGCCTGGGTCCTACACACACAGTCACCTTGTATACAAGGTTACCAAGTAGTTGCATGTGCATACATAAGCCAGCATGGGGCACAGTTACACTGAAGGGCTTGTTCCAATCTATTTCCCACAGGGTGAGCCTGGTGCTGCAGGGATCCCTGGTGAGCCGGTAAGATACCTCCACTCCCATGGGGATAGCTGTTCCCCCAAAGGCCCCATCCCCATGATGATCCTACCCATGGAGCCTTTGACCTTATAGGGGCTCAGTGTCTTATGTTCTTCCTTTTGCCCAGGAGCTCCTACCTACACAGTGACCCCCTCCTGACAGTGACCCCAAAACATGTTTAACTTTGTCCCCATAGCAAGGGTGGTGACTGGAGTTTCCTGCATGCAATCTAGGATGATTCCCTTTGATCCCTCACTGACCTTCCTTGACCAGTGTCAACACCTTTACTCCCTAGGGAGCCCCAGGAAAGGATGGAGCCCCTGGTTTCCAAGGAAACAAAGGAGATATTGGCTTCATGGGTCCCCGGGGCCTCAAGGTAGGAAGGGATCTTTTTCTTTTCTGGTCAGGATGGCCTGCTGTTGGAGGGTGAGGGACCTAGGGCCAGATGTTAGGGGTTCAGGTTACCTGGAGTGTTAGCTCAGAGGTTAGAGTATTTGAAACCAGTTGGAAGAATTGGTTTAAGGTCAAGGATTCCTAAGGTGAGATGGAAATGACTTTTAAAATACATACATATATATATTTAAATCAAGTTCTTATGTAGCCCAGGGTATCTCTGAACTCAACTATGTAGCCAGGATGGCCTTGAACTCTTTATCCTTCTGTCTCCACCTCCAGAGTGCTGGGATTACAGGTGTGTGCCATCACACCTGACTGAGAAGTTGCTTTTTCGTCTGCTTTTCTGCCTTAGGGTGAACGAGGAGTGAAGGGAGCCTGTGGCCTGGATGGGGAGAAAGGAGACAAGGTACAGAGGTAACAGGAGATGTGGGTGCTGTGGGGCCTGGGGCCTGGGTCCCAAGGCTGACTCTCCTACCTGATACCTCCAGGGAGAAGCTGGTCTCCCTGGCCGCCCTGGGCTGGCAGGACGGAAAGGAGATATAGTGAGTATGAAGTACACCCTAAATGAGGAAGGGCAGTGGGCTAGAGCCAAGCTCACATTTTCTTTTCTCTAGGGAGAGCCTGGTGTACCAGGCCAGTCTGGGGCTCCTGGAAAAGAAGGCCTGATCGGTCCCAAGGTACAGGAGATGTTAATAATGGACATGAGGTGGGGTCAGGGGCAAGGGGTCAGGATAGGACAAGGAAGTTCATAATAGGGTCAAAGAAAGTTGTGAAAGGTTGAGGCCTTTGGGGATGGTTGTGGGGCTGGTTCTGAGATTTCAAGGTGCACTGGGGTCACAGTGGAGAGTTAGGATGAAAGGATAGAAGGTGAAGAAGTGGGTCACGCATATCAGGGCAGGGCTTGAGTGGGTTTGATGTCATGAGGATCATGGTTTGTAGGGTAATGGATGCTCTGTTGTGGGCATTGGTCCAGGGGACTCATGGAATTTAAGAATGTGCAAGTGAAGAGGGAGGTCAGTGCAGAATGTATTTCATGCTTCTTCTGTTCCCAGGGTGACCGAGGATTTGATGGGCAGTCAGGACCCAAAGGTGACCAGGGTGAGAAAGGAGAGAGGGTAAGTTGAGGTCATGATTGTGCGATTTGTGGGGAGCATAGTCTTTGACAGTGGGTTCATCTTTGGAGGGGTTTTAATCACTGATTCTTTCTATCTGTCCCCAGGGGCCCCCAGGAATTGGGGGCTTGCCAGGTCCCAGAGGAAATGATGGTTCTGGAGGTCCCCCAGGGCCACCTGGCAATGTGGGTCCTAAAGGCCCTGAAGGACTTCAGGGCCAGAAGGTAAGGGTCCCTAACTGTGACTCCGGACCCTTGATTCTTCCTCACCTGCTTTTTTGTTTTTAATAGTGCTGGGAATTAAGTCTAGGGTGTCACACATGGCATCTAGATGAGTGCCAAATTATTAAGCTTCACTTACCAGCCCTCCCTATTTTTTCTACCTTCTGAATTCGGAACCTACAATCCACAATCTGATCTTGCCCCAGTCTCCAAAAGCTCTGGTCTTCCATTTGTCTGAATTCTGACCTAAGTGACTGACCCGGCTCACTTGGTCCTTGTGTCTGTTAGGGTGAGCGAGGTCCTCCTGGAGAGAGTGTGGTAGGGGCTCCTGGTGCCCCTGGCACCCCCGGAGAGAGAGGGGAACAGGTGAGTGGGGATTCCTGGGCTTGGAGTCAGAGACTGGGTGACCTCTGGTATCTCTGAGACCTGAGATCACAGCCTGGTCCCATCTGCTGCACATAGGGACGGCCAGGGCCTGCTGGGCCCCGTGGGGAGAAGGGAGAAGCTGCACTGACAGTAAGTTTGGCCGGGGTGAATTAGGGACACCCAGCACCATGACCCTCTGATCACTGGGCTCTTGACTTGATGAGGCCTCTCTTTGATCCCTGCATTATGCGCCCCATGATTCATGGATTCTTCAGTGTCCTTGTGGTCTTGTGTTCCCAGGAGGATGACATTCGGGGCTTTGTGCGTCAGGAGATGAGTCAGCATTGTGGTAAGTGGGCTTAGCGTGCAGTCTCCTGCCCCCCAACCCCATCCCAGCATGCTTAGACAGGGGCTGGCGAGTCTCCAGAACTTTCAGGGGGCAAATAGAAATGAATAGCTACGTAGGACACAGATGCTGCAGAACAGTCATGCCAACAGGATTCCCTCAACAGAGGGAGACACACAGGCAGATGTGGGTGGCTAGAATGTTCCAATGATCAACATAGCAGTTATGTGTGGAGGGGGTGGAGCAAGGAGCAGAGTTGGTCCCACCATATGTGACATAGGTGGAAGGTGATGACTGGGGGCCCTGAGAGAAGTGCTATGTTCTGTTCTGTTTGTGACTTTTTTCTTTGCCTCTTGATCCTGACTTCCTCTCTAGACCTTCCATAGTCTATTCCCGACTTCTCACCTCTGCTGTTTACTCCTCTGCCTTCCAGTCTTTCTCCTCTCCTTTCTCCACCTTCCACCTGTCTTCTCACCAGCTTGTCTCTGTATCTCTCACCCCCACATGTATGCCTTTGTCTGTTTCTCTCTCTCCATCTTTCCTTTTTTTATTTCTGTCTTTTTTGAAACAGGGTCTCCCTGTAGCCCCAGCTGTCCTGGAACTCACTATGTAGACCAGGCCGGCCTTGAACTCATAGAGATCCGCTTGCTTTTGCCTCCTGAGTGCTGGGATTAAAGGCGTGCACCACCACGCCTGGCTCCATTTTTTCTTTTGTCACTTTCCCTCATTTCTCTTTCTGCCCTTCTCTGTCCCCTTCCAGCCTGCCAGGGCCAGTTTATCGCATCTGGATCACGTAAGTAGTTTTCTGTATCCAGAACTTTCTTTACCCCAGGCCCAACCCTGCCCATCATTCGGGTCCTCTCAGCAGGGGTGTGTCTAGGGTGGTTGACCATGCATGATGACCAAGGATGTCATCACCTGGTCTGTGCTCCAGGACCCCTCCCCAGTTATGCTGCAGACACAGCCAACCCCCAGCTCCACCATGTGCCTGTGCTTCGGGTCTCTCATGTAGAGGAAGAAGGTGAGGTTGACCAGACTCATAAGACATGGACACATGGGGTATGGATATACACATGGCTGTCCATGCATGCGGGACATATTCCATGGACATAGAGTTCACATACAAGACAAACACAGCACTCTTGCATATGGGAGAGATGAATGCTGCCCACCCCATCCCAGAGCCAGCAAGTGCCTGTTCACAGCATACCCTACTCTGCCTGCAGGCCAGGTGCCCCCTGAAGATGATGATGACTTTTCTGAGTACTCTGTGTATTCTGTGGAGGAATACCAGGACCCTGAATTTCCTTGGGATGGTGATAGCAAGGGCTGGGATCAGAGAGGTTCAGGTAGGGGCAGACAGAACCCACCCACCCTGCTGATCTTTTACCGACTCCCAATTCCTCTGATTCCCATTATCCCAATGACCTAACCACCAATGACCCTAGACCCCTGCTCCCTACCACTGGATGAGGGCTCCTGTACGGCCTATACCCTGCGCTGGTACCATCGGGCTGTGCCAGGTGGCACAGCCTGTCATCCCTTCGTCTACGGTGGCTGTGGAGGGAATGCCAACCGTTTTGGAACCCGTGAGGCCTGTGAGCACCGCTGTCCACCCCAGGTTGTCCAGAGCCAGAAAACAGGTAGGGGCCTTGATTCTCTCAGTGAGGGGCTGGGGCATACCTAGATCAGGGCCTGGGCAAGAAGCTCCTTGAGACTGGGAGAGCTGGGACAAACCCTAGTTCAAAGAACTGTCTACAAAACCACAGCTGTGGAGCCTCTGTGGTCCCTCATGTTGCTTTCTGCTAAGGGTTTCCTCTCTGAGTCAGAGCCCTTCTTCCCCATGTATGCTTTTTCCATGTTTCTCTATGGACTTCATGTTGGGAAAGAAGGTCAGAGGGCTTAATATTTTCCAACCTGCTTTCTCCAGGTGCTGCCCAGAGCTGAGGCCCAGATGATGTGCTGCTGGTCAGCATCCCCTGGAGGAGCTGGGGCTCAGCAGGGTCTTGCTGTCCTTTTCTTGGTGCTAGAATTCTGTGTGCACGTGAGCGTGTGTGTGTGCATGTCCCCTATTTCAGTGACTTGGTCCTGTGGGTCTAGCCTTACCCCCCTGTGGACAAATCCCCATTGTGGCTCCTGCCTCTCTGGCAGATGACTCACTGTGGGGGGTAGCAGTGGGCAGGGAGCGGATGTGACTGGTGTCTGACCTGCCCCTTGACCCAGGCCTGTGATGCTATGGTGCTGATTCTGGGGGGATATTAAAGCTGCTGTTTTAAAAGGCCTTTGTTGTGATTGTTTGGAGATATGGGGGTATCATTCCCCCTTGAGATGAAGGGGGTAGTCAGTATTATCCTGCATGGATACAGCCCTCATGCCTTGCTCTGGTTATTTTTCCTGTGCCCTCAGTTCCAAATTTATTCCGAAAAGAAGTAGATAGGGTGGGGGCTAAGGATGTGTCCTTACTGCTCCCCAGGGGGGATGAGTCATTAGTGGGGGGGCTGCCTCATGCTAGGGAACATGCCCTAGCTCCTACCCCAGGAGGCTGGGGGAGATAAATGGGCCTTAGAGTGGAATAGAGGGTCAGACCACAGGACAACGTTGCCTGGCCCTAGTCCCAGCGCATCCCAGAGGCCCCAGCCTACTCTCAGAGGAAGTTGGCATTGGTACGACTGGTATTAGGTAGGGATGGGAAGGGGGTCTTGGGGTCAAGTGTGATGCTCTGCTTTAAGTGCTACTAATCCTTCCTGAATCAGCTGCACACTGCCTCGCTCAGAACTTGTTTCCTTTTTATCACTGGGCTTTTCTCTGGTTCAGAATCTTTCTTTCCATCATGCTGGAGACCCAGGATGATTTCTGTCTCTCTGTTTTGTCTTTTTTCTCATTTTCCCCTATCTTGCTTTGTCTCCATCTCATTTTTCTTCCTCTCCTTCTCTGTCCTCTCCTTCCCTCACCAAGCCCATCCCTTATCTTTCTCTGCTTCTGGATTTCTTAGTGTCTTTGTCTCTCTCTTCTCATTGTATCTTGTTATGATTTTTTTTTTGGTCTTTTTGAGACAGGGTCTCCTTGTAGCCCCAGCTGTCCTGGAACTCACTATGTAGACCAGGCTGGCCTCGAACTCACAGAGATCCTCCTGCCTCTGCCTCCCAAGTGCCACCACACCTGGCATCTTGTTATGATTTTTTTTTGAGACAGGGTCTCCCTGTAGCCCCAGTTTCTAGCTGGTCTGGAACTTGCTATGACAGGCTGGCCTCCATCTCACAGAGATTCACCTGCCACTGTCTCCAGAGTGCTGGGATTAAAGGTGTGCACCACCACGCCTAGCCTCTTTTGATTTTTTTGAGACAGAGTCTTACTGTATAGCCTAGGCTGGCCTCAAACTCACAATCCTGCCTCAGCTTCCTAAGTTCTAGCATTACAGGAATGTGCCACCATGCCTGAGAGTTCTTTTCCATTTTTTTCTGTCTGGCTCCCTTCTCTATCTGGTTTTGTCTTGACTTTCTTCCTCTTTTTTTTAAAAACTTTTATTTATTTATGTTTATTTTATGTGTATGTGTGTATTGCCTGCGTGTAGGTAAGTGCACCTGTGTCGTGCAATGTGCACAGAAGTCAGAAGGGTGCATCAGATCCCCTGGAACTGGAGTAGGATCCCTTGGGACTGGAGTTACGGACAGTTGTTAGCTGCCATGTGGGTGCTGGGATTCGAACCTGACTCTTCTTCAAGAACAACCAATGTTCTTAACCACTGAGCCATTTCTTCAGCCCCTCTTCCTTTTTTTAAAAAAATTATTTATTTATTTATTTATTTATTTATTTATTTATTATTTTTATATGTACGAATGTTATGCCTGCCTGTGTGTTAAGGGCAC